CAGAACAGTCACTGGTACATAATAGATATTTATAGGAAGGAAGGAGGGAGGGAAGGAAGGAGGAAGGAAGAGAGGGAGGGAGGGAGGAAGGAAGAGAAAAGACAGAAAGGGAAAGAAAAAAGGGACAGAAAGACACAGAGGGGGGAACAAGGGAGATCTCATTCTGGATTTTAGTTTGAACATTCTTTAGATTCTCTCATATCAAAATTCTGGAAGTAGTATGTAGCCCATCCTAAGAGGCCCAATTTATTAAATGTTTGATTTCAAATTTCTTTTATAATCTGGAGTGGAGAGTAAAGGTTTATGTCTTTGATTTTGTGGCCCATGTAGCCCTCTTTCCAATTTCTAAAACACGAACAAGTCTTAAGAAACCACACAGGGGTTGGCCCAGTAGCGTAGCGGTTAAGTTTGTGCACTCTGCTTCAGCAGCCACGGGTTTGGCGGCCTGGGTTTTGCGGGTTTGGATCTCTAGCATGGACCTACACACCGCTCATCAAGTCATCTGTGGTGACATCCTACATACAAAATAGAGGAAGATTGTCACAGATGTTAGCTCAGCAACAATCTTCCTTAAGTAAAAAGGGGAAGATTGGCAACAGATGTTAGCTCAGGGCCAATCTTCCTCACACACACACAAAAATCACAATACAATACATTTTTTAAATTGATTGGGAGTCTAAAAGAACACAGGACAAATTTACCTTTGCGTATAACTGTAGAATTTTCTGTTCAAATTGTTTAAGCCTGGAGTTCAAAATCAGTCATTTGAAGTGAGATTTTTCCTCACAGAATCAACAAAGCAAACATTAGAGAGCTCCAGGAGCAAGAAATAAAACCCTAAAGAGAGCTGGTTCGTTAATCAGTGGGCTACGTGTCCACTTTCTGCTCTACTGGGTTGCGCTGCAAAAGCAAGCTCTGCGTGGTCCCGAGCGTGCTGCACAGAGGATGCTTCAGTTAGCAACACGCTTAGAGAACGACCGCGGCCGAGCAGGACAGAGGTGAGAAAAAGAGCATCCACGAGGCGCTGGCAGCTTGGTATCTAGATATCAATAAACGAGCGCAGCTGTGGGACCGTCCAGGACGTGGAAGGTTTTGTCGTTATAGATTAAATCTTTGGTTAAGGTGGTGTTCACTTCCCTTGATTGACTTCTCTTGGGCCTCTTGGAATTTCTGAATGCCCAGTCTTGGAATTACTTATTATTATCAGCTTTTGCCTTTCAAGTCCGTGGTGGATTGTCACTAGGAAGTCTGGCCACATCCGTTCCCTGGAGTCCCTCATTGTCTCCTATGCCAGGCCCCTTCCCTCAGTCTTTGGGCGGAGACAGCAACCCCACCTTCTTGAGATGACGTCGTGAGAAATCGTACAAATGCATAAATCGTGGTCAGCCTACCGTACAATGGGACGAAGGAAATGAATTGATTTTGCAACAGAAAAAAGGACAAATGGCAAGTAAACGTGAGAAAATATTCAACCTCCCTTGGAGTGTGAGTGGATTCCCTTTTTTCCCATTAAACCAGAAACGCTTTTTGGTGATGGAAGAAGGACAAGTACGGCTGCCACAGAAGGGGCGCGTTTATGTGCTGCTGCGGAGAATGTGACCAGGTACAACGGTCCTGAGAATATTTTTGGAAATATTTATCAAGTGCACCCGAAACATTCAGACACTCTGACAAGCAACTTTGCATCTAGATACCTACCTCGTAAATAACCAGAAGTGCAGGAAAAGACCTGTGTCTGAAATGTCAACCGCCGCATTACTTGTTTGTCAATGAACTGGAAACAATCTGCATGTTCACCCAAGGAGGATGAGTGAGTACGTGACGGTTCACTCACAGAGTGACAGTGAGGATTATCCAATTAAGGCCGCACCTGAAGACGAGCAGGCCCAGACGCTCGACAGCCACCTGGTGAAGCACCGGCATCAGCGCCTCCACAGAGGCAGGCGGTTAAGGACACGGTGTCGAAAGCAAACTACAACGCTGGAAGAGAGGCTCAAATAACTTTTAATCTATGAGCATTTTTAACAAAAAGTTGTTCAAATTAGTACGAAATGTGGCAGATGGGAACGGTAGTCCGAAGAATTTGTGTCAGCAGGGAGAATAAAGACATGGGCCTGTTTTCCTCCCTTCCTCCACTTATTTGTTTTTAACTTTGAGAAACTCTCCTCACCCTCCTGAAAAGTCCCCAAGATACAATCTTCGCTTCCTCAATCGTGAAACGATGACTCATCTGTTTAGCACAGCTGCCTCACCACTCTCCCCTTCCCACAGTCCAAAGTGCCTTCCAGAGAGAGCACACCAAGTTATTTGGCAACTTCCAAAGACAGGCTTTCTTTCAGGGGTCAGAGCCCAAGGGGTTTTCCTGAGGAAAGACCGGAGCAGGAAGCCGGCAACACTGGAAAGCGTCCTGAACACCTGGTCAGGAGCCAGCCTGCAGGAGGAACCGACCGAGTCACCTGGCTTGGGACCTTGGGAAAGTCCATCAGCTGGTCTGCCCCTCTGTTGCCACATCTATAAAATTACGGTAACAATGTTGGCACTACTGCAGGGCAGGAAGACAATTCCTCTGCCCTTCTAGGTTCCTCTGGTTGGTCTAAGGATTAGATTGACCTGACAGAATAACAGGAGAAAATCAAAGTTTAATAACATGTACACAGGAGAGAAACCCAGGAAAACTGAGTAACTTGCCCAAATGGCCCAAGCCACCACCTTAAACACCATCTTCAGCTAAAGACAGAGGAGGAGGTTGGGAGTAATGGTTTGGGATTTCAAAGAGGAGGAAGGTAATTCACATGGAGATGGGAAAGCAAATGTTTGGTAAACAAATATTCCCATGCCATGCAGAGACAATGGGACACGGGGAGGACTTTGATCCAGTGGGCCCTGCTGGGTTCCTCCCTGTCTGACACACCTAGTATGTACTAGACTGTAGTTATCTATGGTGACAGCTTCCTCCTGTAACAGGCCTTCTTTCTTAAACTCTTTTAGGCGGTTAGAGGACAGGTCAAAGTTTCTTCCTGAGTCTTTTGCTCTTAAAAATAATCAAGCCAAATAGACACATTTTGGGGTGGCAAATTCTGCTCCCCTACACTGCTGACAGCTTACAGTTGTGGGAATCCCATAATATAATAGCTGTTTAAAAGGGCTTCCTAAACTGTAAAGCAAATGAGTGTTACTATTGCTATCCCAGGCAGGCAGTATGGAGAGACGGCCCGTGTGCTCAGGCCAACCACAACGTGAAAGACTAAAAGAAGTACGAGACAAGTCACTAGACCCTGACCCAAGCTGGACAGCGGCAGGTGTCATTCTCCACCTACAGCTGAAAGGGACTCATGGGTGAAAATCAGAAGCCATCCAGCGACCTCTTTAACCACATGTGCAGAACCAGAGAGACCATGAAAGGCCTCTCCTGAGCCTCCCACGGTGCTCTTGTCCCTGCTTCCTTTCCCACAGCCCAGGCCATGGAACCCCTAAGATGCCCCAGGATCCTCCAAGAATTCTATGTTTTGGACTAAAACAGTATATAATTTCAAAGTCTCATAATGACGGCAAGGAAGCTCAGGCAGAAGACTTGCAACCTTAAACTCAGGAGCGTGAGGTCGTTGTCTGTCTCAGGCACAGGTGACATCCTCACTTAGGGAGACTGACCAGCAAGCACTGATGATGGAGCGAGAGGGGACAAACGTGGTGGCAGATGGCAGAGGGCGGCAGTAACCAAGCAAAAGAGCCTGAGACCAACATGGTGACCACAGATAGGTAGAGAGAATGGCAGAAATGAGGGACATCCTTTTGTAGTGGAGCAGATTTTAACGTGAGCCACATGTGTAATTTAAAATTCTCTATAAATAAGTATAAAAAGGTACATAAACAGGTGAAATCAATTTTGATAATACAGTTTAGCCTAATATATTCAAAATATGATTATTCAACATGTAATCAATATTAGGAAAATATTAATGGTATGTTTTACTTTTTTCTTTTGTGCTAAGCCTTCCAGATCCGGTATATATTTCGCACTTACGGTGCGTCTCTATTTGGAATAGCCACATTAAAAGAGCTCAGTGGCCGCGTGTAGTGCTGGTGGCAAGTCTAGACTCTTAAATCATCTTCAGATGTCTCACTCTTTGCCATTTCCTAACCTCCGAACTGGACTGGGTTTATGGATCTGCAAATCCAAATCTTCATCTTTAAAAGTAGATCATATACCCAGTCAATTTTCTGCTTCGAACTCTTCCATTTAAAAGAGAAGAGTCCGCTCACAGAAATTGGGACTAAAGCAATGTTTACAGTGAGTGTTTTAGTTAAAAACTGCGATGCAGTTCAACAAACTCCCCAGCTCCTCTTCACTGCTGACACATTAACATACACACTTTAAACCACAGAGTTGAAAACGCAAATCTTTTGAAGTGATAATGAAGTGATGACTAGAATTTAGCACCTTCTAAAAAGGAAACTTATCACCTTAGCTGTTTAAACTTCTAGGCTCTAATTCAAAACCTCCTCAATTCCCCACCCCACCCCACCCTGAGAGAAAATGAGAACGTTTACCACCAAAAGATTATTATTTCTCTATTTTCATTCATTTTCCTAAAAGAAACATAAAAATAAATTTAATACAAGTATTTTACAATAACCATTTTATAGTGAAGCTACTAAGTTGCTGAAAATTTTAAGGCAATGACAAGAGAGAAACTCAGAATCTGTTTCCCATGAGGCTGAGCCAATAGCAGCCCAAGGATTGGGGTTTCTGTCTTCATCCTTACCATCAGGAACGGGGCCCAGGTCCTGCAAGGCAAGATCAGGATGCCATTCACCTCCCTAATTTCTCCTCTGCTCTGATTTCCAATTTTCCTGAGGTACCACGCCCAGAATGTGTGTGAAAACTGCAATGGACAGCACTTGTCTTCTTCCTGAAACAGGTCCTGCTAATTTGCCTTTTTCTGGATGTTTTGCTTCCCAGAGGTGGTTGGGGCCAGTTCAAGCCTGGGAATTTGGTTGTGCGCCAGTCCCTCCCTCCTTCCTCAGCTCGCTCAGACGCAAGGACCCCTGAACTGCAAGAGGAAGACCCAGTTTTGGCCGTATCATAAACCAGCACCCCAGCAGGTGGGAAGATCCATATGCCAGTGGATTATGTTGTCCCAAGAAAGTGCACAGACTCTTTTGTACTTAGGGTCTATCTTGACAAAAAAGGGCGTCTTTTTCACTTTTGCAGAACAAATGGAATAGTTGTGATGGTTAATTTTACGTGTCCGCTGGGTGGGATCCCAGGGTTCAGACAGTTGGTCGAACATTATTCTGGATGCTTCTGTGAGCGTGATTTTGGATGAGATTTACATTTAAACTGGTGGTCTTCGAGTAAAGCAAATTGCCCTGCATCCTGGAGGTGGGCCTCCAGTGAGGGGCGGGGTCCCTCCACCCAAAATGCATGACCGCAGTACCACAGGGGGGGCTGGGAGGCATGGTGCAAGAGACAGCCAAGATGTTCTGGGCTCACCCTTGCACTCTGCTATGCTGGGTCACAGAGAGCTGGAGGCACGGTCAATTAAATCACCAACTGAACTTTGAAACACTAAGCGTGATTGTGTAAGTCAGGATTGTCCAGGGAAGCAGAACCAATAGGGTGTGTGTGAGTGTGTGTCTGTGTGTGTAGAGGGGGGATTTATTTTAAGGAATCGGCTCACGTGATCTTGGAGCCTGGCAAGTCTAAAATACAGGAGGCTGGAGGCCCAGAGAAGAGCCTCCAGATCTGAGAGTTCACAGGGGAGGGCTGTCCGCTGGCAGAATTCCTCCTTGTGGGGGAGGTCAGGCATTGCTCCTGTAAGACTTCCACTGAGGGAATCAGGTCCTCTCTAATGGCCGGCCCTGCTGCCCGTCACAGGCCCCTGCCAGGCTCCTCGCTTCTGGTGACTTTCTCTCAGGCATGTTGCTCCCTCTTGCAGCCCTCCTGATGGCTGCGTGCTCCTGAGTCCCGAACGCAGGCAGGGTTCCAGGCCATCTCAAGGGGTTCTCAGTCCTTTCGCAATCAGAGGCCGTGGCTCAGCCCCTGTCTGAAGCTCTTGAACGTTTTGTGATAGTGAGTGTGTCCCCAGCATTCAGTGACCCTCCTAGGCTTGCTTGTTCCTCGAGATCTGAGGGGTTGTGTCAGGTGTGGTCTCACCTAACACCACCAGCCAGAGTCACAGCGTCAGCCCCACCAGATAGGAAGTTGACATCAGGAATGTCAAAGTGGAGTGGGCTTGCATATGGAGTGTGCTGGGAGGAGAGAAGACGAGCCTGTGACCAGGTGATGCTGAGAAAAGAGAAACGCTGGCCATGATTTCTCAAGCACTCTCTCTGTGCCGGGCACTGACCACACTCTTCCATGCAGTCCCCGGATCCTCACATCCACCCTGTTGAGGCGAGTGTGACTGCGATCCCCACTTCACAGATGAGGAAAGTGAGGTACACAGAGGTACAGCCCACGGTTACCAAGCTGTGAAATGAGGGGCTGGGATCTGAGCCCAGGCGGGCTGCGTTGCCACCCTCTTCATTAATTCCTGGCACATTCTCTGGCACAGGGACTGGATATGTACATCCTCAGGAAAGGACATCCTCTCTCTCTGGGACTCTGCTGGGGACACTGAACAATTTTCCCTCCCTGAATTCCACGTTTTTTCTGTTTCCATTTGATTATAACCATCTTCTTCTTTTAATGCAGTTTTTAAAAAAATATGCTAATATCTCCACTGAGGTTATGATTCAATTTTTCCTCCTTCTTTTGGCCCAAGGGATAGTGTTGGCTTTATTGTATCTTGATTTTAACAAGCAAGCTCCTTCATAGATACAAAGAACAGATTGGCAGTTGCCAAAGGCAAGACATGGGGGGCTGGTGAGATGGGTGAGGGGGTCAAAAGGTACAAACTTCCGTTGTAAAATAAATAAGTCCCAGGGATGTACTGTAATGTGGTGACTATAGTTAATCACATGGTGTTGCATATTTGAAAGTTGCTAAGGGGGTAGATCTTAAAAGTTCTTATCACAGGAAAAAAATGTTTTAACTATGTGTGGTAACCATGTTAACTAGACTTGTGGTGGTGCCCATTTCACAATGTATACAAATACTGAATCATTACGTTGTATACCTGAAACTAATATAATGTTACATGTCTATTACACCTCAATAAACAAAAAAAAGCAAGCTCTTACATGGTTTCCCACCAGACTGCTGATGTACTTAAACCGGACACAAATGACTGAGGAATGGGGCGCTGTGGAGGCGCAGGGTTGGTGGGTCTGCGAGTGCAGAAGTTTGAAAAGACAAAACGGGAAATGCAAGCTGACGACGCTTACAGGTTTGTTACGTGCCCTGAAATCTAAGGGAGGGAGCGTTCCTCGTCAGGGACACAGTCATTTCTTGTTGGTCTTTAGGAAAATCTCATACTGTTAAAATTTCTATTTTGTTTTCTCCACCACTATTTGGTGGTTGCTAGGAGCCCAAGGTGAGAGCAGAAACCGGTTTCAAGATTTAGTCCAAAGGTCCCCTCCTCTCTAAGGAACTTCCGGATTCCTCACCAGCCTGGAGGAGAACTGACCACTCCCTGCTGTGTCCGCACCAGAGTGGCACCAGCTTCTCTTACAAGACAAATAAAGCTACGAGGCTATTTTTAGTGCAACTGTCTCTCTCTCTCTCTCATAGAATAAGTTCCTTCAGAGAAGGAATTATAACTTATTCTTCCTTAAATCACTGGGTGTGGGGGAAGTATCTTGCAGATAACACACAGCTCACGTACATCTACTCACCTGTCCGCATGTTCACGTCACGTCCTTTGGGCTTCCCAATGATCCTGTGTGGTGTGCCTTATTCTGTCTCCACTTCACAGGCAATGAAAGTGAGGCTCAGAGAAGTCAAGTAACTTGCCCAAGATCACAGGCTCGTCAAGGGTGGTGGACGCATTGGACCCAGGTGGTCCAGCTTGAGAGGCCGTCACTGTACCCAACTGTCCCTCGTGTAATGTCTGAGGACAGACTGACCAAAGAAAAGACGGTGTTGCTTGCTCCTAACCAGCAGCTAAGATTCTGTGACAAGATTAACACACTTTTCTACGTGATAAATTGCCATGTAGATAAAATTGTTTTCTACATAATTTGGAATAGTGTCTTGGTCTGTTTAGACTGCTATAACAGAATACCAGAGAGTGGGCGGCTTATAAACAACAGAAATTTGTTTCTCACAGTTCTGGAGGCTGGAAGTCCAATATCAAGGCGCCAGCAGATTTGGTGTCTGGCGAGGGCCGGCTGCTTGGTTGCAGACTAGCATCTTCTTGTGTGTCCTCACATGGTGGAAGGGGCCGGAGAGCCCTCTGAAGTCTCTTTTTAATAAGGGCACTAATCCCATTCATGAGGGCTCCACCCTCATGACCTAATCACCTCCTAACACCATCCCGTGGGGAGTTAGGATTTAACAGACAGATTCTGGGGGGACACAGACATGCAGCCTACGGCAAGTAGTAAGAAATTATCTTTTCATTTTGATTTGATTTCTAGTCCAAAAAATCATATTATAAATTCTTTATTCACACAAACCTAACCTATTTCAAGGCTCTTTTTAGAGGTCTGGGTGGTAGCGCCTTTATGTTCTTTAGTCTAAGTATTGATTACGATGGCTTGGTGGCTGCGAGCTATCACTGAAGGTTAATTTAAATTAACGAGAGACATGGGGAGAGGGGTCAGACCCAAACGCCTGGAGGAACCAGGAAGGTAACAGGAACCCAGCAGAGTGCAACACGATGGAGGCAAGGGTCTGCGGGTGACAGAAAATTTCGGTTTCTGTACAGTTAGGGTTTTCTGAACAAATTTTACTGACATTTGGGATCTGGGCTAAAAGAAGAAGGCTGGAAGTGAACGAACCAGTGGTGACAATGAGAATTCCAGAGAGCTCTACCCTCCTGAGCTACGTGTTTTTTATGTCGTGGGAGGTAAAGCTGGAGGCTTGTCTTACCTTCCCTGCGGAGAAACTGATTGCTCCCCGAAAGGGGAGAGCCCAGGATCCCTCTCCTTTGTGCCCCAAGGAGAATTTGTTTACCGTAGGGAGCAAAGGACTTCTCTTCACCTCTCAGAAGGGGGGGCATGTACACTGTTCTCTGTAGGACGACACAGCTGGTTTCATCGCATGGCCCCAGGGGAAGAACTGAGACAAAGGCAAGATGGGGTGATTATTTGCTGTAAGCAGATAATAATCTGCTCTTCTCTAGAAACCCAGCGTTGACATACAGGATAAAACTAATAAATGCAGACACTAAAAACCTAAAAGGAACATGTACTCTGCCCAGAAACAATGAAAAGAAAATTCTCTCAGCCAACCAAACCAAACTTGTGTTCCGGCTGAGTCAGTCCGTGAGCCGCTCGTGTGCAGCAGCTAGTGTCACGGGTGCTCTCCTTTGGAACATGGGCTGTCATATCATAAATTGAAAGGTACCCCAAAAGTCCTTTCTCCCAGAACAAAATATCTGACTCTCTATGCTCTTGTCAAGACCTTCAATGTCCCTATTGCAAATCCATGGTTTGGTTCCTTTGAAGCTGTTATAACACTAAAATATCTAGGGGTGCTAACTCTAAAGTGGTTCTCAAACGCTGATGTCTATAAATTAATCTGTTTATCCATCTTTGCCCAGAGCCAGCTAAGAGCATCCACCTGCCTAACTCTTGACGGAAGAGCAAGGTGGAGAGGAGCTTGGGCTGCAACCTTGTGACCCGGGGCAGCTGGGGATCTTCCCAGAGTGGGAGGACCCTCAGCATCTGAAAAGCTGCACCGGCGGGGTGAGGGTGAGAGAGAGCACCGACCCAGAGAGGGAGCAGCCCTGAAGGAGGGAGGCGAGGCCCTGAGGACGAATTTTGATTTGATTTGATTTGATTTCTAGTCCAAAAAATCATATTATAAATTCTTTATTTATTTATGCCATGTTGAGACACGTTTTCCAGAAGAACGGAGGAGCTGTCCTCGGCAAGACTGACCTGCATGGCTAGACATTATGTTAGGTGGGCTCTGTGAGGTGCAAGGGGCAGAGACACTCAGATTACCTTTAGCGACAAGGGATTTGGTGAGGCCATGTGGGAAAGTCAGAAGAGGAAACATCACCAGTGAGCTGGTCCTCGGAAGCACAGGAGGGAGCCCTGTACGGTACACAGCAGTGCTCCCAAGCCTTTGGTGGCAGCTGCAGCCCCAAGACCTGGGCCTCCTGTTCTCCCTTCCACAAGGATCTTCTTTGCTTACTGCTCTAGCGTTCTACTTTCTGTCCTCAACTTTGTTGCCTTCATTTTCTCTCCTCCCTTCCCCCCAGCCACCCTCCATTCTGTTTTGGTTTACATTCCAGCTCTCTGAAAGAGAATTTATTTAGGCTGGCCTGAGACAAAATTTCAGCTCAATTAACAGAAAACCAAACTGGAAGCGGCTTACATCCATAAGGCTTTACTTTTTCTCCTGTAACAAGAGTCCAGAGGCAGGTGGTTGCAGTCATTGGTTCAGCAGCTCAATGTTGACATCCACAACTGAGGTTTTCTGTCCTTCTATTTTCCCATCTTTAGCTGTTGGTTTTTCATCTTCAATTGTGTTGCCTCATGGTTGCAAGATGGCTGCTGCAGATCCAGGCATCACTGTGTCTACATTTAAGGCAGGAAGATTAGAGCAGGGTCAAGGCCAGCAAGCTCTCCTGTTGAATTTGTCACATACACAGACTTCTGCTTATGTGTCATTGACCAGAACTGTGTCACGGTGACTATACTTGGCTGCCATGAAGGTCAGGAAAGTGAGTATTGAGCTTTTATAGCCTCGATTGTGGGAAGGCAGCAAGGCAGAAGGATGTTGAGAAACGCTACTGGCAGCCAGCTAATGAACAATGTCTGCCACAGTCGCCGTCTCACATGTGGCCTCTGTCTTATGCAGTGCTCCCAAACAAGCCACCCGCTGGAGGACTCTGCAGTCCCTGGGCAACCGCCTTTGAGTCAGGGGTTGATGTGATCCAAACAGATGTCAACAGGACAGCTTTCCTGGGAAGGGGGTTACATGCAGGGCGAGAACGGACGGTACCTTAGTACCAGGGAGCTATCCAAACATGACCGTCCTCATCATGACCCAACTGCAGCTTAATTATCGTGGATTTAACTAGAGTGCCGCCACCCACACCCATGTGCAAGCTTGTTTGCTCACTCATGTATTGATTCAATAAATACAAACGAGATGAGAGGCACTTGTCCAGGTGCAGAGAGTACAGAAGTGAAGGAGTCAAGGAGCTGACTGTCTAGTGCAAGAGAGAGAACTGAAAACAATTATGTGCCTAAACGTAAATATACATATATTTATGTGTGCAAGCACACACACATATATAAAGAATTTCCTTAAATCTTAGAACAAGTCAAGTCCCTGTTTACGCTCCTAGAGTCTTGTTGCTCTCCTTGGTGATGATTACCGCAATGTCAGTTCTCAGATATTTGTGGACATATCATATGTACATCTCCACATGGTAAAAAGTGCCATGGGAAAAACAAAGGGAAGTAAGGGACAGTGTGGAGGCACGGGTAGACGTGAGAGGGTAGGGCGTATTGACTATAATTTATAGAACAAGCAGGATTCAGAACTATGTGCTTCAGCCACACACGTTTCAATCTGCCTTCCTTACAGGGAACTTGGTAGACATCTCTGCTCTAGAGAAAAGGGAAGACGACGCACAAGAGCCGGGTGCAGAGTTGGCTGCACACCCAGACTCTCTTCTCATTTGGTCATGCTTCCAATTTCTTAAATTATTTTCTTTGGTCTATCAACTTCCTCCAGGCCGTGTTGAGTGTGGCCTTCAAAATACAGCCTTGCTCCCAATCAGACTTCAGTTTACCCTTCGCCTTGACCTTACCCACCCCTCGTCCCACACTGGTTTTCTTGGTTTTAAAAATTCACAGAGGATGTAGTGAGGACCAACATTCACTTGGATATTCTCCAGCCATTAGGCATTGGATTTTTACCAAGGAAACTGGAGCTGCTCACTGGCCTTCTGTGTGGCTGTTACGATTTACATGGGATTCCTTCTATTCTCTCACTAGCCTGTGACCCTCCTTCCCCTCCCAACCCCCAGCTTTACCCAGGCCAACTCCCCTTTACTCTTCAGGTCATAACATAATTGTAACCGCCTTAAGAAAGAATTTCCTTAAAACTTAGACTAGGCTAAGTCCCTGTTTGTGCTGCTGTAAATCCATCGCTCTCCTTGATAACACTTACCACAATTTCCGTACTTATTTTCGTAATAGCTTGATTAATGCCTGTTTAGTTCCTCATAGACTGTAAGCCCCACGAGCGCAGGGATCACATCTGTCTTGCTCAGGTCTACACCATTGTACCTAGCAGTGTTGGACGCACACAGCAGCACGTAATAATATTTAGCGAATTAATAAATATTTTTAGTCTCCAAGTGACTCAGAAGGGTAGGTACCGTGGTGGACACTGATGGTGCCCAGATCCCCCTTCAGGAACGGAAGCTCAGTCCACTCCCTTCCGGCTGCTGGTGGTGCTGCTGGCAGAAACCCTCAGCTGTCAACACGCTCTGAAGCACGTCTCAGTTAAAGAAAGGACAGCCCCAAATCACGTCCCCTTCCAGGAGTGGTTTGCACCCATGACTAACAGATGCTGGGAGCTGAAGGCCCAGCCACTCATACCAACTCAAGACGCCTCTAAAAAGTCATCCCAGCTCCAAGGGGTGGGCTAAAGCCTTTGTTGTGATGGCGTCACAGACCAACTTCCCCCTCTACTCAATCCTGTGTCCTTCACTCCTCACACGGGCCGATCACAAGAGAACAGGGCAAGTCTTTCACACTAATCTCCCCTCAGAGTCTACTTCCTGGTAACCCAACCTGTGATGGCTACTACAAAGATGTTTACAGAACAAACTGAATATCATATTCTGTCCTACTCCATCGACTCCTAAACAGCAGAGACCAGTTCTTACTTATCCTTGCTTGACTAGAAGGTGCCTTTCCTGTAGTGAGTGCTATGGCCTGAAAGTTTGTGTCCCCCCTAAGTTCATATGTTGAAATTCTATGTCCCAAAGGTGATGGTATTAGGAGGTGGGGCCTTTGGGAAGTGCTTAAATCATGAAGGTGGAAGCCTCATGAATGAGATTAATGCCTTATAAAAGAAGCTCCAGAGAGATCCCTCCCTCTTCCATCACATGAGGGTACCCAGAAGTTGGTGACCCAGAAAAGACCCCTTAGCCAACAATGTGGTACCTGATCTTGGACTTCCAGCCTCCGGACTGTGAGAAATGAAATTCTGTTGTGTATAAGCTACTCAGTCTGCAGTATTTTGTTATAGCAGCAAGAACAGACTAAGACAGCGGGCATCATGAACACATCAAACAAAACATTCCCCAAAACTCAGTCTAGACTGAGCTAAAGCCTTCGTGTTGAAAGTGTGTTCTCAGAGCCAGAGGCATTGGCATTCCCTGTGCATTTTGTTACAAATGCAGAATCTGGAGCCCCAATCTGAATCCAATTCTGCATTTTAACAAAATCCCCAGGCAGTTCACATGTTCACCGAAGTTTAAGGAGTACTGAGCTCCAGGATTCATTAATATAAATAAAATGATCTGGCTAACAATTCCTCTCTAGTTTGTACAGTATCTTCACTAAGTTTTTCTCTCTAAAATTTTGCTTAATGCTACTGTAATCATGTAATCTTTCATTCAAGAAATACTAATTGAGTGCCAAAGAGCTCAGCCTTGTAGGCTTACATTCTGGAAGGGGGAGAAAATAAACATCTATATGCACAGTGTAGAGGGTGGGCGGACGTGCTAAGTGCCATGAAAAAATAGTAGGGTAGGGTAAGGAGGATGGGAAGATGGGCTGCAATTTTGTTTTTGCAGAAGGCCAGGACAAGCACAGACTTGCAGCAGGTGAGGTAGTTAGCCACACGCGTATCTAAGGACAAGCCTGGAGCGTTCAGGAGGGACAGAGGCCAGTGTGGCTGGAGTGGAACGGTAGAAGTGCAGAGTAACAGGAGATGTGGTCGGAGAGGAAAGAGGGCAGATCTCATGATGAGAGGCTGCTTAATAAGTCGCTATTTGATATTTAATTGCTGAAGGGGTAATGCAAATTGTTCTTCCTCTAAAAATAAACCAGTCCTGGGCCAAGCCGTTTCGACCTGGGCTATGGAAGTCTGCACAAGCCATTTCACCGGCGCAGCTTCAGCTTCCTCAAATACAAATGCAGGGCCCGGAGAAGGCATTTAGAGGCGCTTTCTCTTCGCAACTCTCAGGTTCGCCGACGCCTCCACGGCGAGTTTAATAGGCTAAAGGGAGGACGGTAGCTGGGCTGTGGCCTGGGCGAAGTTCTGCAACTCCGAACACCGCAAAACCAGGAAGGCCCGCGGAAGGCGGCGGGGGCAGAACGGACATAACCTCCGGACCCCAGTTCCTCACCGACCGAGGCCGGGCCGCGACCACAAGCCGCCGAGCCACAACGCCGTGCTTCCTCGGCGCCGGCCTTTCCGGGCCCGGTCCGAGCGCCGCCTCCCGCCACGCGGGTCCCCTGGCCGCACCTGCCGCCCCGCATGGCCCCGCCCCCCGCTCTGGCCCCGCCCCGCATGGCCCACCGCCCCATCCGCGCCCGGCCTCCCGGCCTTAGCCCCGCCTCTCCGCACTGGCCCCGCCCACAACAGGGCCACGCCCCCGCACTGGCCCCGCCTCCCCGCTCACGCCCGGTCCCCGTCCAAGTCCTGCCTCCCTGCCCTGGCCCCGCCTCCCCCCCTTGGCCACGCCCCCGCTATGGCCCCGGTCCCCGCCTGGGCCCTCTTCCCCATCCACGCCCGGCCTCCTGGGCTTAGTCCCGCCTCCTAGCCCTGGCCCCACCTCTCCTCTCTGGCCCCGCCTCCCCACCCACACCCTGTTCCCGTCCAAGGCCTGCCTCCCCGCCCTGGCCCCGCCTCCCCCTTGGCCCCGCCCCTCGCTATGGCCCCGACCCCCGCCTGGGCCCTCTTCCCCATCCACGCCCGGCCTCCCGGGCTTAGTCCCGCCTCCTAGCCCTGGCCCCACCTCTCCTCTCTGGCCCCGCCTCCCGCTGGCCCCGCCCCGCCCTGGCCCCGCCTCCCGTTGCGCGTCGGCCAGCGGCGGCGGAAGTGACGCTATCCAGGCCCCCAGTGCCGGCGGCCGCCGCGTCGGGCCGGGCGTCATGGCTCCGCTGCTGGTTCTCCTCCTCGTCGTCCTCCAGCGGGCCGGGAGCCGGGCGGAGATGGGCGCCGCGGATCTGGAGCCGCCCTTGGGTACTGTCGCTTGGCGGGCGCGGCCGGGCGGGACGAGGGAGGGAGCCGCCCGCCAGGAGGCCGGGCCCGCGCCCCCTGACCCCGACCCTCGACCACGACCCCCGACCCCGACCCCGCGTTCCGGGCGCCCAGGCCCCGGCGAGGGCGGGGCGGGCGGTCGTGGCTGCAGCTCCCCTTCCGTCCGCTCCCGTCGTTGCCGCGGCTCGGGCTTCGCTGTTTTGGGGACCGCTGCGCGGCCTCGCCCGCCGCCCGGGGCGGCTCCTGGCGGGAGCGGGTCCTCCGCCGGGCAGGCGCGCGGGCCCCGGTGGCCTCGGGATCGCGTGTCTGCAGACGGACGGGCCTGGCTGAGCGGAGCCAGCCGCCTGCGGGGGTCGGGAGGCCCGGCCGCCCCCACCCTCGCGCGCTCTGCGTCCCGGCCCCCGCCTCGGACCTCCTGGGGAGCTGCTGGCTGGCGTGCTCCCTTCGCCCGGCTCGGCTTTGCTTGCTTTGAAGTGGGGCCGACAAGGACTTAGTCACTCCCCGGGACAGACCTCGCGCCCGGGGTGGGCAGCACAGATGCGAGGCGTGCGGGTCCTGCGCCGAGATCGTGATTCTGTAGCCCGCGGTTGTTGAGTGCGAGGCACTGTTGGGAGCTCTCATCGCATCTCCTTTTCACAGCAGCCCTGTGCAGCAGGCAGTGCTGGTGTCTCCGTTTGTGCATGAGAAGTTGAGGCACAGAGCGATCTGCCCAGCTTGTACGGAGCCGCGTACAGGGGCGCTGCCGCTGACGGGGGAGCTCGTCACTTGGGCTCCAGGGTCCAAGTTCTTACCACGCAGCGAACTGCCTCTATTTGGGGCGAGTTAGTCATCCCGAAGGGCAGTTGTCACACACCGTGATAAGAGCTGGGACGTACGTGCCGACTCCTGGCAAGCAGCAGGAGGTGGGTGCCTGGCTGACCGGGGGGGTCAGGAAAGACTTCTCAGAGAAGATGACCCCAGTTGGAGCTGGAGGTGCAGAGAGACCTGTGTGCCCAGAGAACGAGGTGTGAAACAGCACGTCGAGTTAGTGAACTAGTAAGCGTTTTATCGTGGAATATGTGTGTGAGGATCCCAGGGGAGATGAGATAGGTGGAGAGGCAGGAGCCAGTTAGTGAAGTGCTTTATTGTGTGTAGCATCAGAGGATACAGACATCGCTTTGCCTAACTTAGGCAAAAAGAGGAATTTATTGGCTCAGAGAATCCAAGCAAGAGTTAAACAGAATGATAGAGATGCCATCAGGACCCCAGCTTCTCAAACTGCCCAGGCTCCATTTCTTATTACTACCTCTGTGTGTCGACGGCTTTCCCTACTTGGCAGGAGTCATGGATGTTGACAGCTTTTGGGTTTTGACTTCTTGCAGCTTCCTCCATCCTAGCAAAATCCCAAGGGAAGCCTCTGATTTGCCTAGCTTGTGTGGGAAGGACATTGTTGCAGGGAGTTGCAAAAAAAGAGAAAGGATATTCCTGACAGAAGTGCAGGTGCTAGGCCAGCAGAATCGTATGCTCACCATCCCTTGCACGAGTCAGTGGGCAGCCATTGGGTTATTTTAAGAAGAAAAAGGATTTTATGCACGATCAGATGTGCCGTTTAGAAAGACCATTCATCTTACAAAATAGTTTGGTGGTAGGCTCAAAGGAGGGAGGCCAGTCAGTCCGGCAGGAGTCGATGAGAAGTGGCAGTTTAAATGGAGAAGAGAGGACAGCTTGAAGAATGTTTAGAAGGCAGAGTCAGCAGGACTTGGTGACTGGCTGGATGTGGGAAGAGAGGAAGAAGATGACTCAGGTTCCTGGCCTGGGCAGAGCCTTAAACCAGTGCCAGGCCCTCCTTCTGAGCACTGGACCCTCCTGAGCGTGGGGCCCCTGTGACCACCCAATTTGCACATACTTGAAGCTGGCCCTGGGAGTAGATTTGCCTGCCTGCCCCCATAGGAAGATCTACAGTGGCCTCTGTACACCAGCATTTTGTACACACACGTGTCAGCGATCCCCTCCCCCTCATTTCCAGTGCATTTCCGGTACATTTGTCTAGAGTTTTCAGTGCATCTCTCTGATTTTGTTGTGTTCCCATGCTTTTAAAGTTAGTTTAAAATGCAGAATCCAGAGAGTGGGAGGAAAACCCACACGACAACCTGCTTCTGGCTCTTGGTCAGCTTCCCTGTCTCGCCAGTGCCTGGCACTTCCACGAGCAGTGCGTTAACCCTATCAGTGCTGGCTTTGACTGTGCTTTTCGAAGTTCGTCTTAGACAAGGGGACCTGATAGGAACAGGGAAGCAGGCAAGGGAATACACCCAGTCTCCAGGAAATCCAGGTGTTTGAGAATGTACTGTGTTACATTACGGGCTTCCATTAATATTTCTGAAGTGAATTGATGGGGAAA